GGGGGGGTGAGCATGTACGACACGGCGCCGAGCAGACGTTTACAGTCGGCTCGAAAGAAGCTGCTGTGACAGTGTTTGTTGTATGAATAGTTACAACTGTGTAACTACAAGCAGGGCAGTGGCTGAAAGAATGAACGAGGAAAACTCGTAAACTCCTCAACTTTCCAAATTGAGCTGCATGTGGTAAATGAAAGTCATAAGTTTACTTTGGTGACCTTTCTGTCACATCCGTGTTTATCTCTTTATTGCAAACAATATTTCACATATCAAGGCAATGTTGAATGCAGAGGTATGTCTGATTTTTTTTGAGCATACATTTACAAGGTCTAACAAACTTTTGCTCTGTCCACATAAAAATACAAACACTTTTCTTGCGAAAAATTTAGAATGGTGTTGAATACAGAGATACAATGATTTAGAAGAGTACACAAATTGTAATTTGGCTTATGACAAAATATTACTATAGGATCGGTAATTTTTATGCACTATAACAAGCATGTGTTATCACAATATTTAGAAGCTTGTATGATTGTTATCCATTCCACACACACACATTTCTTCTTAGGAATAAATTTAAAAATAGCGCCTAATAGTATGTCAAAATATGCAACGAACTTTGTTCTTTGGACAGGAGTAAAAATAGCATCTTAGTTCAGATACACAGAACCAGAAATAAATCTAAAGAGCTTAATGAAATCAGTACTTTGACTATTAAGTTTGGGGACATTGAAAGGACTATCATTAAATCCTTTTTAGTCTGTAACACAAATATTAAAATCTACATAGATAAATATCTTGATATTTTGGCAACAAATATCATTTTGCAGACCTGTTGTATGTACACATTTTTCTCCTAAGATAAGTAATAGGCGATGGAAAAATAAACTGCTTATTTCATATCATTGGTGACAAGTTTAAACCTTTCCTTTGCAACTGTACCAATTACTGTTGGGACCATGGCCTACTTGACATTGGACCCTCTTTTAGAAGCATCTGGTAATCTGGTATCACACAGCAATAGCTTTAAAACACAAAATGTTAAAAACTTCTTTTAAAATCTTTCAAAATGTTCCACACCTCAACTTGAACATTTCCTTGAACTAACTATGAATAAATCACAAAAGGATTAACTTAAAATGAGTTCTTAATTAAAAACATACATACATCATGCACAAAATTCATGAATGTGCACTATCAGGCAAAGCAGATCACAGGTTGCTGTAATATTTACAGATGATACTGTCTGCATTTAGGGGAATTAGAACACACATCAAAGTAAGTTTCTGTTTCTCAAGAGGAGAGAAAGCTAAAAGATTGACAAATTTGGTAGGTAGAATCTTCAAAATCATCTTCCATGCAGGTACCGTACATCCTGGAAACAGTTAATTCATGGGGGTTCAAGCAATGTAAGTACAGTACTACTGTCTATGGTCATGGTCATGATGAAAGGCAAGCAAACAAAACTGACCTATTGAACACATTACATGTGTGACCATCCGTACAATAATAATCTGCCTCAAAACCAAACATTATCATAGGCAAACAAGAATCAAATAGTTAATCAGACTATGTTGATAAAGAATCATTGACATAATAAAAAACTATGTATGCAAAAACAAACAAAAAGACTAAAATCATAACAAATAGCAGTAGATATCACTTGAGAAATTATTGAACTCAAATCACAAGACTTCACAAGAAATTGGGAAATAGATATTAATAATTATTTGATAAATAAACTAATGACGGATGTCAAATAGTACAAGCTATGATTTTCTTAGAATAGCTTTGTTTCAATTGTGAGCAAACACTTAAACAAATAGTTAAACAACATAAGTTAAAGATAAAAATTTAAAACCAATGAAACATCCACTAGTAGACTCATTTCAAATAATAATCTAACTACTACAAAATCGAATCTTATGTTACTGACAGTATGACTTGCTCATCTCTCTAAACATGGGACTCTTTCCTGAGAGGTGTCAACCGTAGACCCTTTGCCAACATTTGAGCCTCCAAATCCTTGTCCTCCTCTTGATACCTACAAAGAGTAAACAGTTGTTAAAATAAAAACAGTAATACATACAATAAAAGGGTGTGATTTTAAGAGGTGCAAAACGTCATGCAAAATAGGCACAGTGTAAATGCATGGCCAACTACGTAAAAAAGCAACAAATTCAGTTCACTTTAGAAGAGTTCACTTAGAAAATAAAAATCTTTACTTCTAATGATAAGATTGTTGTGTGTTGTGAAGGTTGAACCCTTACCTGATTAAATTGTTGAGTGAAAAAGTTCAGATGAGCAAGAGGGAAATGGGCATTGAGTGTTTAGATGGCAAATAAAGAACACAAGCCTAAGCATGGTGCGTATTCCATGCAAGCTAATCATATTGGATAATTTGCCAATTACACTAACCTAGTTGCAGTTGACTAAGGTATGGATTGGAATGTTAGTAAACACATATAACCCTCCGCCCGCACAAAATATAATATTTGGGACAGTTGTGTTAATGAAAATGATTTTTCATTTTACAATGCACTTACTAATACTTTTCAAAATAATGAATTTGGGAGAAAAATGCAATGCCAACAAGCAAAGTCAACAGCAGGAATATCAAAAATTGAATATTTTCAAGCACAATCCATAAAATTTACCAGCATTTTCCATAAGATGGAGAAATGCTCAGTGGTGTGAACCAGCAGCAATGTTTGAGGTGAAATACAAAATGTTAAATGTTGATATATGGAGTGTAAATAATGACTAAAAAGCTTTAATTTGACCTTCTAGTGTATAATCATGCAGTAACAAAACTCATGCAATAATTGTGGAGAAAATTCAGACTAATCAAATCCATCACCTCATAAGAAAACCATGTTTTACAAGCACATGCTAGGGGTTTGAATCAGGAAGAAATAGGCCAACTACAACATAGGAAAGTGTCCATGCTACTGCAAGCTGAACCAGCCACAGTAGAAGGACAAAGAAGCAATGTGGTTTCCATGGTCTGTGCCTGCACACACTTGACATTTGGACCATCCATCCGCACCTTTGTCGATCAGCTTCAAGACGGGCAATGAGGGAATCTCGCCTTTCAACAATTTCAAGCATTTCACTCAATATACGTCCTTCAGTAGCAACATCATCACCTGTCTTGCTAGCATCTGCATAGGAAACAATAAATTTTGTAAGTTAAAACATTGCAGTAACTAAGATCATCCAAGATACCGGTACTAGTAATGTTACATTTCTGCTGTTTATACAAGAAGAATTTATAACTCACCATCTTTAGCAAGACGATCTCTTAATTCCAGTTGGAGACGAGCATGTCTGTCCTCAAGCTCCAATTCTTGAGCTCTGACTATCAACTCTCTTTCATATCGACGAAGTTCAGACCGTTCACGCATAAGATTAAACCACTCGTGCAGTAAATCGACCTCCTCGCGGCCATTCTCTACAAAATGTCAATGAAAAGCTTGATTATTTCTTTAATTCATGAAAAAATTGACTAAAATTACAAAAGAAACATGCAAAATATGCTTACCATTGCCTTCGCCTCTTAATGATTTTTCAACACCAACACCCTGTTGTTCTAACACTTTCTGTTTTACCTCCAATTCTTCCAACTGGCGCTGTATCTCTTGAGCCATGCGAAGCCTGAAAAGAGCACAATTTAAATTAAAAAAATATTAATATACTCTAATTTTTTATATTTCTCACAACAATACTGGACATATTTCCATAAAATTTTGTCAGTACCAAAGAGTACAATACCGTAGTTATACAGTTTCATTCAAATACCTTTTCATCTGTGCTTGACGAGAAACACGTTTGCTAAGGCGAGTCTGTTTCTTTGATGTGGAACCATCAATAGAGATTGAACCTTGGGTGGGTGTTGACATGCCTGTAGCGCGAGAGTCATCCAAGTCCTCTAACTCTGACTGGCTGTCATCTACACAAGCATCGACATGCCATTTGGTGCCTGTAGTGTCAAATTCATAACAAGGTGACTCAATAGGTGCCAGACTCAACAACAACAGATTGCAGTGTAAATTATGGAGCCATGAATCAATATTTTAAAAGAAATGTGCAATGTAACAAATTTCTAGATGTAGGGGAAAGTACAGGGGTAAAATACAACAACAACCTGACACTTTAAATGACAATGTTCCAGCTTCTAACACTTTAACTTTCAACACCTTTACTTTTAAATTTACGACAGCACGAGCCATTGATGCTACGTATCATCTGGTAAAAACTCAGTTGAACTATTCCACACTAACCAAAACAAGATACATGTACAAAATAGGGAAAGGGGGACATTTACCTGAGGTTTGTGCAATGTAGGCTGACGGCGGTGGGGGTACCGGAGGTGGACCAACAACCGGGGCCATGGCAGTTGCTGCAGATGACACTGCTGCAGCAGTACTGAACCCCATTCCCCTGTTGATGAGAGCTTCTTTTTCTGATGTCCGAGCATGCTGCACCTGCTGCTGCCACAAACAAGGGGGAAAGAGAGAATTAGTGAAAGGTCAAAAAACGTCAAGAACAAGTTGTGATTTATGACATACATTAAGATATTAAATTATAGATGGAAAATTTCAACAGAAAGCTTTTAAGAATTCTGACTACTAGAAACTTCTAACATTTCCTATATACTGCAGATATGTTCATTTAACGACTAAATCTGCATGGCAATTTAAACACACACAAAACCAAGAAAAAATTCTCTAAAATACATGCAAACAAAAAAAAAGTGATACAGAACAAGAGAGGTCGACCATCAAATTAAAGGATTAATTTAGGGGAAAAAAAAGGGAAAAAAATCTCCGATAGTAAAGGAATGAAATATAGAAAACATCACAAAATTAGCCTTAAATTGTGAATTCATATGCTTACGTTCAGCCAAAAGTCACATGTTAAATATACCCCTTCATACCCCTTCATGTTAGTGAAATTTTTGAACAGAAATTGAAAAGAAGGACAGTATTATACTCTCAAGCAACTAAAATGTAGAATTACAATGATACCATGCACCAAACCAGTTTCCTAAATGTTTGAAATCAAAATAATGAAACCGAGAGACAAAGGGGAGTGTGAAAACCCAGAAAGATATGCTGGTAAACATTTAATGATTTTAGAATTTTAGCATTTTATCTACTTGACCGTTTCTAATTAAGATTAAATATGGGTAGATATCAATGAATGGCATGCCAAAGAAATATAGAGAAGGTAGATACAAGTAAGACAAATTTTTTGAAAAGATTTAGAAATTCACACACCCTCAAAATTAATGAACACTGTATGTACGATCAGAACAAGGTGAAATAGAAATATGTAAAAGACAATATAAAAGATGCAGCAACCATTACAACCACAGCTACCAAACAAACTGACAAAACAGACAACAATGAGACAAAGGTGCTTACTTCAAAATCAAAAGAATAGTCATTAGCTCCATCATGGTCCAGCTGAAATGGAACAATCATGTTCAAAAATTTGTTAGAAATTTTGGTGATAAAAAAAATCTTATTTAAACAGCCAGATCTAATCACCATCTAGGTAATTATACAACAAGAAACTTGATTGTTCATAAAATCATCAATATTCTCATCTAGATAGATATAAATTAGAGGATGAGGATGGAGGAGAAAGCTTACCTTTGCTTTTTCTTTGTCTTTAGACTTCTGGGCAAGCCGAAATCGAGGGAATTTTATGTGGTCTCGATCTCTTTCCTTTTCGGGGGTGTTGTGGCTAGTGCTTGGGGGGGATGGGCTGGACGGACTACCACTTGAGCTGGTCTTTTTGTGGAAGAAGTCAGATACTGCCTGAATGATACTCTTCCTCCTTTCTGAGTCTTTCGATTTTGGTTGTGGACGTAGAGTAACTCCATCTCCACCACCCAACTTTTGCTAAGTACAATTTATGAGTAAGGTTGGTTAAATAAGATAAGAAAAGAGAGGAAATCAGAAACAAAATTTGAGCAAATAAACCAATTCCAGATCAGTATAGTTAGATATGGAATAGGTTAGCTCACAACTGGTAAAGAGTTGGCTGCAAGTATCATATCATAATACAGTAACAACGTACAAAAGAAGATTCCTGAATATTTTTTAAGTTTTGCCTTTTAAAGAGACACTAATTAACAGTTTCTAGATTGATGATATTTGTGTAACATATCATACATCTAAATATTATTGATTGACAGATTATCAACATTTAAAAACACAAATAAAATTCTGCTACATTACCTGTGAAGAAGACGACGAATTGCAGCTGCCATCAGGCACATAATTTGTATGAGCTCTCTCAGCACTGGAATCCAGTCTGCGACTAGCCTTATCCTTCAAGGCTTTGATGTAGTCTTCAGGGCTCAAACCAAGTTCTTCATCAGACTTCAATCTTGCTCTTGCTCTTGCTTCTCTCCGAGCTCTTTCTCTTTCAGCAGTTCTCTTCGACTCCTCATGTTTTGGCCTTGGAGGTGCAATGGGAGTTTTGAAAACTTCATCAGGGGAAGTGAACAAGGCCTTACGGATATCTGGCAATGAGAAAGCTTCAGGGTTAGTTAGTGGAGTGTCAGGTAGGGCTGCCGTATCTCTTGCCTTTTCAGCCACCTCTCTTATTTGGTCAACTCCATGAACTGAAAAAGGACGAGCTCGAGTTTCCGACATGGCACGTTTTTTCATAGAAGTGAGTGGTGTCAGATATTCCTCACGATCATCAGGTGTTGATAATGTGCGCTTTTTTACAGTCAGCATGGGAGTGAAAAATTTCTCTTTATCATCAGTCTTACTCTCATCAAGAATATCATTGTCGCTGTGACGCTTGCTCATATCCTCAGACTTATAATTGGAAGACTTATGTGCCGAAACTGATGGAGGAGGTGGAGGTGAATTCTTAATACTTTCTGATTCCACATTGCCTAGGTTTGGTATGCAGCTGATTGAACTTGACCCACTGAGAGGACTTGCAGAACTTCTTATACCCTTGCGAGCTTTTCGCTCTTGAGGTGATTTTTTTTGAGCCAGCAGTTTGTCCATTACCATGTCATGAATAAGGCTTTTCTGTTTTGATCGTTCTTGGGAGAGTTGCTGAAGTTTTCTAGATGTTGTAGGTGATTTCAATGAGCCGCTTGCATAAGTTGGGGTTGTTGAAGTATCAGGTTCTGTAGCGAGGGTCACGTCAGTGGTAGCCTTCACTTCAACAGGTGACATCAACTCTGGAGAGGATTTATTTGATCTTCTTGATTTTCTAATATCAATTGAATCACGGGCATTACTGAAGGGGGAAACTCTACCTTGCAATCGCTTAACACATTCTGCATAGGCTTTCTGTTCTACTTCATCAGAGCCTTTAAGGACAGCAGGTGGGGGGTTTAAAGGGGTATCTACAATAGTTATCATGTCACTGGTTGTTGTAGTGTCCTCAGTTGAGGGCTCCACATGGCAGGAATTGTCTTCATCAACTAGCTCAACTGTGGATGAAGATCCTTTATTTTGGTCCAAAATACTTTTAGAATCTGAGCTTGAACTAGTACTGCTCGTATTTTCTGGGGATGAGGTACTTGCGACAGGTGGTATAGATGAACATGTCTCGACAACAGGAGTAGCAACATCTTCATCATCTGCATCGTCATTCAAGGGAATGTAGCCATTACCACTAGGCAAACGAAGCAATTCTTTGTTTATGGCACATGGTGATGTATCTTCAAGATTTACAAATTGTGCATATCCCTGATTGCGGAGCTTTTGCTTTGTTCCATTAATTTGATCATCGGTGCTACTTCCTTCTTCTCCAGTATCCATAAACTCAAGATTTTCTTCAGAAGCCATGGCATGTAATCGAGGGACCACAGGAACATGACCAGAGCTGGAGCTTCTTTCATTATCAAAGTCTTCCAAATCCTCACCAGTGGCTATTTTAGCAGCCTGGACATTTTCACTTCGTTGGGCTTTCCGAGCACCCTTCGGCTTCTTGTTACGGCGCAGGGTCACAAATTCTGGATTAATATTAAATTCAACATCTTCAAGATCTTCCGACACTCCCGGGTTGGCATCATGGGCCCAGTCTGACAATTCTGTTTCGGTTAGGGGTGCATGGCCCAGGTCTGCCTGTAGAGAAACAGGAGAAACAGGGCTACTCCTCCCACTTCCTGTTTGTCTGCCTAAGGTTAAACCAAGCACCGAACTAAGAGGCAGGTCAAGAGGAGGCTTTGGAGTTGATCGTTGCACAGCATCTCCTTGAAGCACTTCACCCTTTGAGTTGTGCACTTCCACTCTAGGAGGAAGTTTGGGGGATTCTGGCTCTCTTCTCTGATCCTTACAGTCTTCTTGTTCATTTTCCTCATCTGCTAAGCTGACTTCTGATGAGAGTGAGTCACTATCCATATCTTCCTTCCGGCTCTTATTTACATCTTGCCATGCTATGGATGGAACAATAATTGAGGTTTCATGCACTGGACTACGCGGTCTACTGTCTGTCGGCCTGTCTGGATTCTCTTTGGTTTCTTCATCGCCGGACGGTTGGTTGATGAGAGAGTCAGGTTGTAAACTGTCAAGAGGCTCTTCTGGTTCATTTCTTTTTATTGAGGTTCGGCAGTTTGCGACCCTAAGGGATTCAGATGTTTTCCCGCATACATGTTCAAAAACATTATCAGCAGGCAGTTCTTTGTGTCCAGGCAATGAAACTGCTGCAACATCAGGAATACTCTTATCTAACTTGAGTGATGATGATTTATCCAAAGATGATTGGCCACAAACATGAGGAAATATACCTGGGACAGGTGGTAACTCCTTTTTCCCATAAGTGGCAACAGTTGAGGCCGTTATGCTTGAAGTGGTAGAGGAAGGTAATGATGGTTTAGGAGAAGTATGAAGTTTGGAGGTGCTCTGAAGGAAAGCTTGCATAGTAGGACTAGGTTCTGAAGGAGTAGGGTTTAGGAGCTTCTGGTGTTCTGATATTTGATCAACAAAACTTTTGAATTTGGTATCTAATGTTGTAGCCGATCCAGACTTTTTGACAGAACCAGCTCCATCTCCCCCTAAAAGATAACGTTTCTTTAACTCTAGCGAAAGTTTAGAAGCTATGCCACCAGTTGATTGGGTTCGGTTCAATAGGTAATCACCCCGTCGAGGATTCATCAGAGGTGATGGTCTCACAGGGGTTGGTTGATTCACCGGGTTATTTGTGATTGCATTGTTATTTGATTCAACTTTGTTTTGTAGTGGAGAGAACTGAAGCTTGATCCCAGATGGTTCTTTGGTAACATTACCATTTATCACATTGCCACTTCGAATCTGTAATACAAGTAATTTGATAACTTTCAAGATAGAATGTAAAATGAGAAAATTAACTTTGCACTGCTACTAACCTGGACCTTTTTAGGCTCCTCAATATCTTGGGTGAGATGATCACTAATAATTATATCTGGAATTTCATGCCTAGTGGGAGTTGTTCCATCATGCTCAAATTCAGAATCAGTTTCTATTTCGGTGGCAGAATTTTCCACACTTTCTGATTCAGAAGAAGTTTCTTCAGATGCAACCTGGTGATAAAAGCAAACAAATAAGACAATATTCAGGGTTTTAAATTTAAATTTCTGAAAGAGTAGGTTTTATTTAGAGACACAAGAGAAAATAATCCTGCAAAATTATGTTAAGAAGGCATGGCATAAAACAATTGAAGACAACATCAGAGCCAGGTCAAGCATAGCCAGGAAGAACAGATGAATATCAAGTCTGCAATGGAAGTGTCAGAAAAGCTCTAAAGAAACAAATTCTAATGTCACACAGATATTATTATAAAATCAGTCTTATAAACTTGCAGCAGCCACACTCACGATATTTCTCAGGATAAGATAGATAGAATTCAAATCAAGCCTATTTACAAGTACAAATGATTGGAATGTACTATGAAGAAAATCTAGAATTAGCTATAGAGCCGGGGAATTCAGTCCTTGACCTTAGGTGCTAATTCTTGTCCACGTGTGTTACGTCATTTATCATACACATTACGTATATGGGGGAGAAGAAAGGATTCTCTTCACAGTAGAAATAGCTGGAGAGTTAGTGCAATTGAAACTAACACTTTTGGAAGAGGAATGCAAAAGTAAATTATATACACTATAGATGTGCAAGGCAAAAAGATGTCCATTCACAATAATATGCAGAAGATAGTGCAAACCAGGAGCCTTAAATGTTAGATCACACACAGCCAGTAGCTTCATCTACCCATATTTGATAGAAGCATCTAAATTATTGATGAAAAATTTTATGGATTTGGCAATAGAGGAGACTTTTAAATCTACTCCCAAGGGCATTGATTGCCTTAAATAAGGTATAAACTCAAATCATGGTTAATGACCACACAAACACAACAAGGAACTCTCGCAAACAAACATTCATCATAAATACCTGGAATTTAATATCTTTGGAAATGTATGTCAGAGCTGCTGGCAGAACTGACAAACCAAGCCTGAGATCTGAACCAATGACTGACTAAGGTAGGTGGAGATACAGTATATACCTATCTTATGCATTATGACAGCAATCCTCTGATCATAAAATTGCTCCACCATCTCTTTGATAAAAGACGTAACACATACAAACAGATATTTCTACAACAAATCACTTTCTCATTTATTTATATTTTGAGAGCAAATGACTAGAGAAAAATCACAAAGTTAAAAGGAAAATAAACAAGAGGAGGTAACAACAATTTGTAAACCACCATCTACTGACTTGGCATATTCACAACGAATTCCAAAACACTATTTAGGAAATCACACAGCTTTCTTTAGATTTTGAGCTTCTGCTAGCTGCTGTTGATCGACTATTAGGAGAGGAGTAATAGGAAGAAGTTGGATTTGGTGTATACTTAGATGAATAACTAGCTCCTAAAGAACTCCCTGAAGTATATGATTTTGACGAATAGGGCTGAGACGGGTATGAACTTGAGGAATATGCAGGTGAAGAATAAGCTGAAGATGAATAGGAAGGCGAAGCATATGGCTTTGAGACAGGAGATGAGGTATAGGATGATGATGGAGAGCTGTAACGGGATGTGTAATTGTAAGAACTATTTGGAGTACTATATCGGGTTGAACTGTAAGAAGAAGTGGTAGGCAAATTGTAACGACTAGCTGTTAACGAATTTCGACGAGAAGACAGAGACAAAGCTCCACTGGATCTACGACGGTATGTCACTGGTGACAGAGGACGAGAAATCGGAGGGGACATAGGCCTAGAGGGGGGACTCGGTGAAAATGGCCTAGTATCTGATAGAACCAACTCAACAGGAGTTTTCAGGTCAGTTACTCTTGAACTTTCTATTTCTAATGATGAAAGACAGACAGGATCATTATTTTCTGCCACTGTATCCGATGGTAAAGGAGAAACTGACTCTGAGTTGGGAAGGGGTATGATCCGACAAACCACTGGAGATGGAGGAGGTGAGTGTGGCACTGAGGGAGAAGAAGGTCTGGAAAGTAAAGTTGGTGTTGTTGGTAAGGATGAAGGAGTAGCAGGAGGTGAAGAGGGAGTGACTGATGCAGTACTGTGACCAGAGTCATGACCATTTGAGGACCTAGCTGTTTCAGTTTCATCAACTGAACCCTTCGGATATGAAACAAGCTTCTTCTCTCTTTTAGGAGTAGTTTGAGGACTTGAAGGGGTAGAAGTGAGATTTTCCTTGGGGTTACCCTTCTGCTTCCTCCGTCTGCTGGGAGTGGGTGGAGTTTGTGGATCAGAGTCCTTGCTAATAGTAACAGATGACAAAATTTCTTTAAATTTGTTCTTTTTCTTCCGAGGCTTGGGAGAGGCAGGAACAGATGAAGGACTAAAAACAGCAGCTTTCCACTGAGGTGAAGGAGGAGCAGATTTTGATGGCTTAGAACATGAGATGTTGGGGATAGGAATACTGTCAGAAGCTGAAAAACTTTCTTTTTTAACTGGAATTAAAGGTGAGGTGAAATCTTTAAGTGCTGCTTTAGTCGTGCTAATGCTAGGAGAGTCAAGTTTTGATTGGCAATCAAAAGCTTGGTTTACAATAACTGGTATGCACTTAGATGGCATTAAAGACTGTGCATCGACAATCTTTGCTGAAACCTTAATCTGACTTCCAAGAAGTTTCTTTTTACTATCTCCCACTGGACTAGATATTACTGGGGACACATTAATGGCTGGTAAGTTTGCAGTTGACTCAGTAGGTTTAGTTAAGGGTTGCAAAACAGCAGCACAATTCATATTAATGACAGACTCAGTATCTGACCAACCATGTCCATGTAAAGAGTCGGAGTCTACAGAATAATTTGCTACAGACATTTGGTCAGAATCAAAGTCACCACAGAGGTCATTAAACAAAGCATCAAATGCAAGTGGCACTAAATCTGACCCTGGTAAAACAGAGGGCTTTACATCAGCCATTACTAGCAATGGCTCTTCAGAACCATTCCCAGCATTTCTTCTTGAGTCAACAAGAGTGTTTGACGGACCCGACTTTTTAAAACCATCACCATTCAAATAAGAATGGGCTGCAGCTGGAGTAGTAGGCATGGTATCTTGAATCGGATTGCCCTCAAAGCTAACTGTATCTAAATTAGTCCTCATTTGATTCAAGTATGTTTCTGAATCTGACAATTGAACCCTAGTTTCAAAGCTGGTATTGATAGCAGGAACATCACTATCAAGAGTCGTAAGGTCACTGAGAGAACAGAAAAGATCAGAGGAACTACAATGAGGAGATATGGGCGCCGTTTTCACCTCAGTATCCGATCCTGTGTCAGTATCGTTTCTTCCTGGAAGACAGTCTGGCACTTCAAGACGGACTTCCTGTTTACGGAGTTCACGTTGTCTAATTTCTTCTTCTCCTTCGGTAGCGGTGTCACTATCATCATCTTAAAAAAAGGAACAAAATCGATTTAGAGTCATGATTTAGAAAGACAATTCATGTCAGTATTGAATTCCTCTGTTCATCTCACCTTCACTATCATACTCCTGATAGCTAAAGTCATCACTCCCATCTTCATACTCATAGCTTCCACTTTCTGGCTCTTCATCCTCATCACCAGCAGATCCTAATGCAACTCTGTCTTTATCATTAGCACCATTTTGTCGAGTTCCATCTGTACTATAACGCCTTGTCCAATTCTCAGCAAGGCGAAGAGTTTCATCAGCGGTAAGAGGCACATCTATTGCTTCTGCAAAGGCTTCTGCACCATCGTCATCTTCATCACTGTAAATTTGTAAGACATCGAAATAAAAACATCTGATCTTGGACAAAAACTCATAAGATTCCACAAATTATATAAGGAAGAAAAGAAGCTAAGAAGACTTACCTCAGGTCAGACAAGTCATCACTGGAATCACACTCTGCAGCAGAGGCACCAAAATTACGGTCAGTCCATTCATCTTCATCCATTTCACTTGGATGATCTTCTTGGTCCGATGAGCCTGCAGCTCCAGCCAAATTAGAGAAAGTAATGCGCTCTGGGGTCTGTCCACGATCTAGATCAATGTCTATATCCAAAGGTTTCGGTTGAGGTGTGCTAAGAGCTTTCTGATCTTGACTATCAGCAGTATCAACACCACCAACAACATATTTGCTCTGAAATTAAATTATCGGTCAGAGAGAGGAGGAGAAGTACAACAAATAAAAGAATAACTTAATTGATGGGAGTGTGATAATCACCTTGTCAGGAGTTTTGGCAATTGTGAGCTGACGAGGTATGTTTTCTTTGCCAAGAATGTTTCTTAGTTCTTCACTCTTGCGAGCAGTCTTCATCTTCTGAGTGCCATGCATCCCAAAATGATGTGTGCAGAAGAACCTGCTTCCAAATTTACCATCACGGTCAAATGCATAGCTACCAAGACGCAGAGTTGTGCTGCAGTATTCACAACGGAAACAACCACGATGGAAAAATCTTCCCTCAGCACTTAACCTTTCCATTAGGTAAACCCGTTTATTGCAGAAGTGACACATTTCAGAGCCTCCTTGGGCCGGTAAGACCAGTGCAGGTCTTGAATTCTGTAAAAACACAAAAGCTAGAATGTAGAGAGAAGAGCATAACCAAAGAATACAACTAAGCTACCTAAGTCAAAATAAGTGCTTACAGAGCGCTGAATAGTGACTTTTTCTGCCTCCTGCTGATTTTTGTTAGCTAATTGGGCAGCCATTGCAGAAACTTTCCCTGCTTCCAAAGCACCTCCTTCTTTAATTTTCTTTTCAAGCTGCTTCAAGCTTATGTCAATTTCTGCATATTTGCTAGCTGTTTCTTGATCAAATCCTTTGACTCGAAGTTTCTTCTCCATTGCTGTGAACTGTGAACATATAAATTTTACGTTAGTATCTGTTGAAGAGCAGTAAAAAGAAATGGGAAGAAAAAAAGGAGAAAACTAGCCTTATCATCAAATTGTTGTCTGCTCCATTTTGGCACCTTTTCTGCTCTTTGACGAGGACTTCTTCCTGTTGTTTTATTCTCAGCAATTTTCTTTTCAATTTCTTTAACATTCCAATCTGTTTTTTCAATTTTGCCTGTATAGGAAAATTAATATTAATTCAAGGTAAGATAAGCACATGGGTTCCACATACTACTGTACAGATAATTATGGTTACCAATTGCTCTATTGAGATCCTTTGGTTTCTTTTCTGTTACTGGGACTCGGCGTAATTTATCTTCAATATGCTTTATTCTTCCAGAAAACTCCGGATCAACTGTTCCACGTTTCATTTCTTCCTGTAGGCGGGATTCACGATCCTGAAATAATTATAAGTTTTTAGAAATTTTGTTGAAGTGAAAATACACGAATTCATGACAAACTCATATTGACATTAAATTAAGACACTAGCACAACATCACAGTTAGTGAAATAAACATAGTTTTAAAACATCACAAAATATGGAAAACAGTTCTCAGAATACAGGCAAGTTTGGGTGTTTACTGAGCTGAATAAGAAATTTTGAAATTTATTACCAGAAGTCAAAGCAAAAGCCACGACAGATTACTCCACAAGCAGATTCCTGAAAACATTTCCACACTCCCTCAAGTAGCAAAGATATTAGACATTGATAAAGATGTTATTCTTGCAAGTCAGAACATGCTGATTATTAGGAAGGCACAGGTAGGAACAAAACCAAAACTGTATCCTGAATTCAAATGAGAAAAGCCTGAAAAGCAAAAATTAAAGCAGCACACAGAAATCCAGAGGCAATCCTGAACTGAGAAAACACAACACAATAAGCATCAAGAAGCCATTTTGCACTGAATCACCAAAGCATGAAAATGGTGCACTATCCAGGCAGCCTTACAGGATATAACAGTTTCTGCTCCAAATCTTTGACTCTATCCTGAAAATCAGGGGCAGTCATGCGGTACATAAAGAGCGAGTAATCTTCAAAGGGAGACTCATCATCATCAGAACGGGGTGCATTGGCCTGCAGCATCTGGATACTTTTGTAGAACTGCTGCCTTGTAAGCATTTGCATATACTTGCTGCGTTTTTGTCGCTCAATTCGATTTTGTTTGATTTCTTCAAGGCGGTTGATGCGTTCCTGAATTCGAGACATCTGCTCCTCCTATGAACACCACCACCATTACAATCCCAAGCAAATACCAAAACACCAAAGTTGAGAATTTCTGTGGAAAGCCCCATGACACACAAGAAAAGACCCCTTCACATACTCCCACACTCACCAAACTGAGGCCTTCCACTTCCCAGTTACGGGGACACCTGCGTGCTATTTGCTCTTCCTACACAATTGATAAACCACAAACCCCACAAATAAAAATTAAGCTCTACACTAGAGTTTTAATTACTGTAATATTAATTTATAACTCACCAAGGTTAATGCAGCCCGATCAGAAGCACCGCTTCTCCTCTTTCGATTTCTCCTTGAGACGTCATTTGAATGCCTCCTGTCTTTTTCAGGGTTGCTAATGATGGACGATGGTGTTCCATCGCGGTCAACTCTTTCACTGCCGTACTTCTTCCGTCCAGCCGACTGACGATGGTTTGTTATCCGACTAAGCAAACTAACAGTCTGTTGTGGAGTGAGTTTGCTGAGATCTCTCTTACGGCTTGCCAGAAGAGCATCAGTGGTTTTGTCTTTCTTGTCTTCCATTTCATCCAGCTTGGGATGTTTAATGTGAGGGATTTCACCACGGAATGTGTCATATATTTGGGACAAATAAGATAGCATTGCTAGTTTGTCAGGTACATCACATTCCTCCATTTCTTGAGCAGTCATCATTGGTGGGATTCCTAACTCTCTTTCAAGGGTGTCAAATGCAAGTTGATTATTTGCTACAATATCATCAGGCTTGAGGGAATGGAAATCAATCAAGTCTGGACGATATCGATGAATAATTGCACACAATGCCAAGCCATTTTTAAAAGATGATGTCATATCCAGAATGTGAATACTGTCATACAGAGCTACTTGCTTTTTAAGCCAATGCAGTAAAGTGTCAGGGTGAACTTGGGAATCCTTGCGCCTCCTCTTTTTAGGCATTTCTAGTGCATTGGTTGGTCCTGGATTCAGAAGCATTGCTTCTAGTCCAGCGACATCATCTGTATCATACAGACCCCTTACTTGCATTGATGTGACAGCACGAAAATTTAAGTTTGGATAACGGGTCTGAGGTTCTAAGGTGTACGCATTTAGATCTCGATTTAGATTTTCAGGAGTAGTTTGACCAAGCAACCGGTAGATAGATTCTCGTTCGGCTAAAACTTCTAATGAAGAATATTGTCCACTTCCCCATGCTCTGATAGCCCAGCAGGCATCCAGGACACTGAGAAAACCACGAGCACATCCTGATCCAGTAGGCCAAAATGGCTAGAAAAAGGGAAAGTTTATGCAATTAGCAAAAGCCTTAACAAACAATTTCATCATTTGTAGTGGTGGTAGTGGTAAGTACAATATGATACCTCTAAAAGACTATCACCAACTAGCATAGTTAAGAGTTTATGACCTCTTCTCTCAATTACACGGCTAGCATTCTCAGCAGCATACATTGATGTGAAATCGAACATTGCAACATCTGGTTGTCCGTAATGATTTACTGCAAATTCTGTGTGTGGCAATTTATAATTTGTAGAAAAGTCAGCAGCTTCCCTAGCATACTCCATGAGGGCTTCCTTATCCACATTTTCAGGATCCAGTAACTTGGCTGTATCTGGGTAATCCTGGAAGATAATTGAAGATAATTTTGTCAAAAATGGTGAAAACAGATTTCAATCCATTAAAATGTATATTATAGAAGTAATTTACCTGGAGAATAACATTCTTGTTCAGCAGACTATGTTTTTTGGCAGTCATCACAAAATAGTGTGTTTCGTCCTTGTAGTAAACTATGTTTTCCAGATCAATACCAGTGGCAGCATATAAATCTTTAAAAAATTTCTGATTGAAAATAAATGCCACTCCTGATATTTCTTCCACTCTAGCTTCTGCTTCAGATTTTCGGTTAATAAAGTTCGCTGTGATTGCTATGGCTAATTTCCCCCGAAATTCTTTTCTCTTGAATCCTTGAAAATTGAATCAAAGATTTATTTAGATTAAAAACAATAGAGTTAAAGCTAGATATATGCTTCACCATTGACAACACTCTACCTACCCTCTAAAGTGTTGCGTTTGCCATCAGCCCCAATGAGGACATCAAACTCATATTGAGAAACAGGGTGATCAGCTGGGCTGGTGATGCATCTCCAGCCAATCCCTTAAAAAATAATGATGATAAATTTAAGCTGCTGGGGAATAGAGACACCTTCAGAAACGTTCAAGCAGTAATTTAAAAGAGGGAACTCACTTTCTGTCTGATCCTCTGGAGGTGGCACTAAGGCTTCAAAGCCAACCCCCTCATGAAATTCAACACCTAATATAAGTGCAACCTTCAGTAAAATACATTGAAGTTGCCGAATACCTAGAGTTAAAATAGAAACACAGGATAGAAGAAATCTCTAGAAATAAAAAAAAGGCACCACAAAACTCTTTAAGTACAATGACTAACTTACTTATATGATCAATAGAACCAGCACAAAATTTTCCAAAAAATTTCTTTGCGCCTAACGCTCTTAGATCCTGAATTACAAAGGGCCATAAGTGCAAAACATTATTTCTTGATATCCTATCTCTCTTCTCAATTAGAACTACTTTGCAGCCCAAAAGCTGGGCTTCTATAGCAGCTCGTAAACCACAGGGTCCGGCACCTATTATCAGTACCTGCAAAAAGAAATAAAAATTGGACATTAGTTTAAAAAAAAAAACATTAAAAAAAAACACAACAACTCCAGAAACAATTTTAGCAAGATAGAAAACTCACCCGGGTGTTTGGACAAGCCTTTCCTCTGTTATAACATTTATGACTTCCACGTTTATCAAATTTGTTCCATAGGGGCTGAGCCTTCCATGAGCGAAGTTTTGACTGTACAAAATATTAAAAAGATCGATATAGTAGGTTCAAGAATGCTAATAAAAACGCGCGGCACAACGTGCGGCCGAATCACCTTCAGTTTGAGGTAGAACTGTGGGAAGGGTCCCGGCTTGAGGTGCAGCAGGTCACACAGGTGGCGGTGATGGCCGAGGATGGTCTTAAGGGTGGTTGAAGAGCACAGCTTGTCGAAGACTTCCGAGGCGAGCGCAACCTCGGGCGACACCGGCTGCTTGCGGGGCTCCATGGCTGACGTTGGTCAGTTCACCACCCTGCAGGAAAAATGAAAATAAATTGCTATAAAAAAATAATTAAAAAATGCTACAAATTGCATATAAACCGAAAACCACACAAGACAATCAGCGATCCAGTCACCCCCCCCCCCCCCCCCCCAATCACCCCTTTTCTTTTGTATTTTCCCCTCGTTTACCTCAAGTCTAAACCCACCCCACACCCCCACCTCCACCCCCACACACGCACGACCTGACCTTTATTGCGCAAAAGTTCAAACCAAATAGGGGAAGGGAAAAAAGAGAAGCAGAGGGAGAGAGGGGTGGGAGATTTAATTTTCACACTGCAGGGCCCGTCCGGCATCCCCTGGGGGGCGATTCATCCCCGCGCATGCATCGTGCACGCACTGCGCACGCACGTTGCGCGCGCTGCACCGCGCGCCGGCACCGGCCGCCAGTCTATTCCCAGCGGTGCGGCCGAGAGGGAGGACGATGCAAGGGACAAGAAGGAGTGCGCGGCCCGCTGGCCTTGCCCGCGCTTCGCTTCGTCCCCCCGCCGCCCCGGCTCGACTGCATGGCATGCACGAGGCCGCAAAAGCCGGCCGGTGCGAAATATAACCCCCACCCCGCCCACCATTTTTTTTTTGGGGGGGGGGGGAAATATGAAAGAAAAGAAGAGAAACTTGGGAAAACATTTCGGGGGGAGGGGGGGGGTAGAGAGCGTACAGCGTGGCGATGGAACGGTGCTTTTCAAACGGGCTGCATGGAACTATCTGTGCAAATTCCTCCCCAAAATTTCTAAACAAAATCCTGGTCACATGACAAGAAACCTGAAGTGAGTGGCCGCGAAAGATGGTTTCGCCTGAGCGCCGGGGAGCGCGGGGTGGGACGACGTGGCGTGGCGTTGCGGGACGAGGATTTGGCAAGACCCACCGCCGGCCGTAGCCCTCGTGGCGTGGCGCGGCACGGCTCGCGGCTGGCTCCGCCCGGCTCGCGGCCTGATCAACAATTTGTTCTCGTGACTGATTGCGTGTTCAGCTCGTTCAGCTCGACTCGGGACGCCCCGGACCCGGACCGTCACGCGGAAGAAAGAAACGAAGGCGCGGTGAAAACAGATTTCAATCCATTAAAATGTATA